TCGGTTCTTCCGACCGATCGGACCGATTCGATCAGTTCGAAAACCATGCCATTAGCAAAAGTTTTATTTTTCAACAAAGCTTTGAAAGTTAACCCATTTCGGTAAGCTCCACTTTACAATTTATTCTTCTTGTTTCATTCTTGTTTGGGTTCCCGAGAAAATGCGTTGAAGGAAAAAGACAATTCCTTTTTCTCTCTCCCTCGACATTTGAAGTTCTAACTGAGTTTTTTTTGTGTGTGTGTTGTTTTTCACACGCTCTTTTGGGTAATAATGTTGCATTTGGTCTTGTTTTTTTGCTTTGAAGTTGATGAAAAAAATTCTTTTTTTATGAGTTGAAAGTAACTTAGCTGAGCTCTGTGTTCAATTCAGGAGCTTTGTAATGGCAGCCTTGCAGACATTATTCTTTTTTCTTTAGGTAGATTGTATAAAGGAAATCGAATCTTAGAAAGGTTTTCTTTTTGGTCTCTTCAGTCTCTTATTTCTTTTATTATTTAGAAAAATGGGTTAACTTTTTTTCTTTTCATAACCTGCTGTAGATCTTGTTATAATGAACTTTTCTTAGCTAAAAAGGAACTTTCCCAGAAAATATTTTCTTGAGAAACAAACGGGGTTAGTACTCAATATCGTCTTTTTGGAACTGGATAAACAAAAAGGTTCGAGTGGCATTTGAAGTCATATTTTTTTTCATGTTCTCAAAATTTCAATTCCGACGCTTTGTTTTTTTTTTTCCTTACAATACGTTCTCATTTCACGGCAACAATGGAGGAAGAAGGTTCACTTGCTAGATTACGACAATAACCCTTTCTTTAGTGTTAAGAGACCACGAAAAAAGGCACTTTCATGTAAATTTGCCTTTCACCATCCCCTTTAGCTGTAAGGTCGCTTGTGACTATCATAATGTTCCATGGACCATGAACAAAAGTAAGTGTTTTTTTGGTTGCATTGAATGCGGTAAAGATGAAGGGTAGCTATTGCTGTCTGGTTAATTAGTGGATAGCTCATGCTATATTTTTGGCTTTGTGGTTTCATAAGGAGCACTTGACATTCATATGAGCTCATTAATTTTTTTTCACCCTACATTCACATTGAATTCTTCTGTTTCAGCTCGTGATAATTTTCCGATTCGTTGCAGGCGTGGGGCAAGGAAGCATTGAAGTTGTGTAGGATAAATATCTCACTTGTTTTCATTTTTCCTTTAACTTTGTGTAGGGACAAGATTCTTTAAATTATGCAGACTCCGAAAGCAAGGTAACTTCTAAATTCTATTGCCTTCATGACTGCTCACTCTTCACACTTTAGAAGTTTCTTAGTGAGTTTCGTCAATGTGATTGTATGGTTGTTCTCGAAAATTAAGCAATGCATGTGTATGATGCAAATACAGGGATGATCGTCTTTCAGAATTTTATCTGGTAGATACTATTAAGGGCCGAATTGTCCTGTTACCGTCTTGAGTTGCGGTCTCTTTCTGCACAAAAGTGAATCTCTTGTTTGTTTCCTACCTTAAGGATAGAATAAGCCAATGCCCTTAATTGAACCAGCAAATGCTGCAAGTGATTCATTCTTCCAAAAGTAAACTTGTAGTTTATCATCTGTTTGAGACCATTGCCTATAATCTGTTCCGTTGCGTAGTACCTTATCGATAATCTGCTTATTGCAGGAGCAAGAAAGAGTAGAATTTGCAGTTTTAGTACTTTGTTTCGATTTAGGAAGGTGATGAGGTAAAAGATATATGATTGAAAATTGGAATAAGGGAAGTTTTGGTTTAAGTAATGATTTTTAACCTTTTGTAAAAAGGTTGGTTGGCTCCCTGCTCTTGAGCTCAATCGAATTGTAAGTAGCTCTTAACTACTACAAATACAGTGAGATCGGTCAAACATTGCTAGGTCAAACTAAGGGATTCGTTCTGTTCTTGTATCCCGACTTCAACTCTAAGAGTTTTGTTCTGTTCTTGTATCTTGGATTTTGTATTTGTTCTTGAAGTTTCGAGTGTAATTGTGCTTTTTTCATCTGCACCAAATGAAATCACAGTTAACAATTGTTTAGCAGAAACGGATCTTCAGAAGTGCCACAAAGGGTGTCTAATCAAGCTGTTCGTCAACTCAAACCAACCACAATAGAGACTGGTGTTGTATCTAGTCCTAAGTCAACTAGTAGAACTTCAAAAGAGAAGAGCCCTAAAGTTGTTGATCGTCGTTCACCTAGAAGCCCGGCTTCCGAGGTAGTCAAAGTAGAGAACATGATACAGGTTTTGGACACTGCTGAACCTTAGAAAGCTTTTGATAAGTGTTTATTAAAGCCATTTTCTCTTCTTTTCTTTTTTATAGAAGCATGTCAATAGGTTACTTCATTGTCATTCGAATAATGATGGATTTCTCTTCCACCGATCCGTTGTGAAGAAAACTAATGGTTTGCATTGTTTATCGATATCTTGTGTCCAATAAACATTGCCGTTTTGGATTAACTGATCATATTCTGTTCTTGCTTCAGAAGAAGCGCCCGAGCAGAATATCCGAATTGGAAGCACAGAATTCACAGCTTCAAGAAGAACTAAAGAAGGCAAAGGATCAACTAAGTTCATCTGAATCAACCAGGAAGCAAGTTGAGCAAGATGCTGAAGAGTCCAAGAAGCAACTATTGGACTTGTCTGCGAAGGTTGAGGAGTCTCAAAAGCAGCTTCTTGAGCTTCCTGGTTCCAAGGACACTCACGTAGATGAACTCCATAGGGTCTCAGAAGAACGGGATCAAGCATGGCAGTCGGAGCTTGAAGCTATACAGAGGCAGCAGTCTCTTGACTCAGCTGCTTTGGTCTCAGCCGTGATTGAGATTCAAAGACTTAAGGATCATCTTGAAATGGTGGCTGAATCTGAGGCTGCACAGACCAAGCAAGCAGAATCAGCACATTCAGAGCTTGAAAGAAAAACTGGTTGAAACTCATTCTTTTGTGGAGAACATGAAAAAACAGCTTAAGAATAGCCAGGAATCGGAAGCTCGGGCCAAATCATCTGCGAATGAAACTCAGTTACAACTAGAAGCTGCAAAAGAGACTGTTGAAGCACTTAGGTCGGAAGGCATGAAAACTGTTGAAGCTTACAACTCCATTGCTTTTGAATTAGACCAATCGAGGAAACGTGCCTGTTCACTTGAAGGACTTGTTAACAAACTGAAGGCAGACACGAGTGATGCTGGTGGGAGTATCTCGATTGATGGTAACTGTATTTCTGTTGATCATCAAGCTGGAGAAAACGAGAAACCTGAGGAATCTCGCCAGCTTGAAGCAGAGATTTCTTCTTTGAAGTCTGAGGTGGCACGTTTAAGATCTGCTCTCGAAAGTGCTGAGATTAAATGCCCTGCAGAAGAAACCCAAGGCACCGTAGAGATAAAGAGTGCTCATGAAATGGTTGAGCAGATAAAATCTGAGGCAAGCTTGAGAGAGACCGAGCTCTTAGCTGAACTAGAGAAGGCAAACATTAGTATTACTGACTTGAAGGCAAATATGATGGATAAGGAAACTGAGTTGCAGTGTATCTCCGAGGAAAACAATGAGCTTCGCATGAAACTTGAGAAAAACATGTCACAACAACGAGAATCCGAACTTGAAAAAGAGCTGAAGCTATTGAACGAAACTACTTTTGATCTGAAGGCAAATATGATGGATAAGGAGACTGAGCTTCAAAATATATCAGAAGAGAATGAGATGCTGAGGTTGGAAATCAGTAAAAGGGATATGGACAAATGTAAAACAAATGAGCTAGACGAGGCAAGGGCTGCTGAGCGAGAAGCTATTATGAAGCTTGGACATGCAATGGAGGAGGCTGATAAGAATAACAGGAGAGCTGCCAGGGTGGCTGAACAGCTCGAAGCTGCTCAGACTGCCAATTCTGAGATGGAAACAGAGCTGAGAAGGTTAAAGGTGCAATCTGATCAGTGGCGCAAGGCTGCGGAAGCAGCTGCTACAATGCTTTCAGCAGGCAACAACGGGAAGTTCATGGAGAGAACTGGTTCATTGGATAGCAATTATGATCCAGTAAAGGGAAGGGTTGGCTTACCTTACACTGATGATTCTGATGATGAGTTGCTGAAGAAGAAAAATGGGAACATGCTGAAGAAGATTGGGGTTTTGTGGAAGAAGCCGCAGAAATAGGAGACCATGAGGTATGCCAAATATACTTTCTATCAAAATTGCATTGGTTCCATGTTTTCCTCTTATTTTATCTCTAACTTTTCACCTTATTTGTACAGATTTCATGTACCTCAAATGAACAGTCTTCTTGCTGTGTAGTTTTCAGTTATGTCATGACGATGTCTGAAAAGCTTGTAGTTTTCACTTATGTCACGACGATGTTCGAACGGCGGTGACACAATGTTTTCTTCTCCTTTTGTGTGGATATGTAAAATGTGAGTGCCATGTCCACACCTTGCGCTTATAGGATCAAACATTTTATCTCTTCACAATGTAAGCTTGGATTTGGATTATATGGGTTTTCTATTAAGCCGCCTGCCCAAGTATGATGATCACTTCATCAGCTGCTAACTGCGAGCATGAACAATCGTTTGTTTTTACATTCCGTTCACCTCCCATGGAATGAGGTGAATGATTTACAGTAAGGCAGTGTCATTAACCAGACTCAGGTGCGTTGAATATGGGTTCAGAAACGAGTGCCCGATAAGTTTATTCATGAAAGCCAATGTGAATCAAACTTTTCTTGCTTAAGAGTGCATCTGCAGGCGTCTCTGGTTTGTTCGTTTTATTTGTTGGGTCATTGGCTAATTTTTGTGCATACTGCGGTGTATTAGTTTAAGAACATAGCACAGCATTGTTTACCTGTTGAACTTCATTGAATATAAATGTAAGAACCAAGAAAACTCAAATGACACCGGTGGCTTTCATTTGGACAAAAAGGAAAAAATAAAACGTAAGCGCCGTTGCACCATGTTTTCTATCATATAGCGCCGATCACTTTCAATTATACTTGGAAATAATGTCTATTACAATGCTATTCATATCCTATTTTGTTATCATGTTCACAATTGTCTAAATCTATATGAAAACAAGAGTAAATAGTCTCTTACCAAAATTTAAAAAAATCTTAAATGTTGAAAGGAGCTTACGTTAAGTACATAATGCCATATAGCGAGGTATTTGTCAGCACTAGTTCATGCAATGCAGTGGCTTTCTGGTCGGCTTGGCCATCTATCGACGTCTCTCTCATTATAAAAAAATCCACCTTACGTAATAAGTGACAAATCTGCAATTCATTGATACAATTCTGCATCAGAATTGTCAATCAAGTGTATATGCATAGGTGTGTCTAAATACATAAATTAACTATGGGTATTAGTGGGCAAAGTTCTCTAATGTAAACAAGAAAAAGGTTTCAATGATTCTAAGCAGAACCTAAAGGTAAAAAAGGAAGAGATTAACAACTAGCAACAACTACCATATTTGTCATGTAACCAAGAGAGCTGGGAAGAAACAGGCCAAGAGGGAGGAGGTAAATCCGAGACCATCCGCAGGGTAAACAACTTGGCTGTTGCTCCTTGATGACGGTGAAACTAGGAATCATTTCGTGAAGGAAGAAACATACCATTCCAACAAGGAAGTTGACCATAATTATAGTTTGACCAGTTCCCTTATGTTGCCCTCCCCAGTTTGCATATTATATATATAACCAGGTAAGTCCCAAGAAGAGACTGAGCAAAAATAACCTTAAATTTGAACTACCATTATGCCCATCCAATTATAACAATAACAGAGACAACAGGATAGCATGCATTAGCCATCAGAAAAAGAATACGAGTGTCTCTGATATTAAGTGTCATATTCTTGGAGATAAACAGCAATCTTCCACAAGGCATCCCTCAAAGGATAACTTCTTGAGACTCTGAGCAAAAGTAACCTTAAATTTGAACTACCATTATGCCCATCCAATTATAATAATAACAAAGACAACAAGATAACATGTATTAGCCATCAGAAAAAGAATACGAGTGTCTCTGATAATAAGTGTCATTTTCTTGGAGATCAAACAGCAATCTTCCACAAGGCCATCCCTCAAAGGATAACGATTAGATAATCATCATTCATCCTAGAAATCATACATTTATATTGAACTGTGAAATATCAAGCATCCACCATTACACAAAACAGCTCCAACTTCTAACATTCAAGAAAGGAGGAGGAGCAGGGAAAATGTTCAAAACTCCAGTGCCTTGTGTCTTTTCTTATAGCTACCACCAAATTCAAATGATGATTCTTATTATAACAATGCAGACAAGAGAATGAATTAGTGATTACGTCTCAGATTAGTCACACTTCAATAACAAAATATTCATGAACCAGAGCAGATTGACATGATAGAATGATTTCTTTCTTAAATTCTAAGAAATACAAAATTGTTTTAGTTCTATTAATCACTGATGGCATCAGTCCAAGCAACCTAATTTTTTTTCCAGCATTTTATTAAAGCTCTAAAAATTAATTTGAAAACGATATACAAAATTCTAGAAAATGATAATGATCTCTAGCAACATTCTGCCACAAAATCATTGTAAAGAAAATGAAGCCTGTCATCAATCTAACCACTGATATTTGTTCAAATATTGAAAACTTACCATGATTCACAACACATTCATAGCATGGTAGTATCCACTGGATAGCTCCCTAGAACTCGCAAGAAAGTTGCAAATTCCTGCCAAGGGAACATTCTGTTAGTTATGTCACAACTTTGGTTAAAGGAGAAGACGACGGAGTTATCCAAGGTTTGAATACTAGACTCGATGCCAACTGTCGAATTGAAACACATTGATAAATACCTAACAACTAATTCTTTTGAAAGGATATGGAAGAGGCAGAGCAATATACCATTAGATGTCTAAGGGCATTCTGTGCTCTCTCTTCAGCCATGGATGCTTCGAAGTCCACATAGAAAAGGTAGTCAAAATATCTAATAGAACAAATTGACACAATTAGGATGAAATCTTTTCAAGTAACCAACTAAATGCTTGGTAGCAAGATGTAAATAAAGATGTATATAATTTATTAAAATTAGAAAAAGCTATTTTGAACAAAAAAAGGCAATATTTTACTAAAATTACTTTGAACCATTGTTGCCATCATCAGATGCTCTCAAAGGCTGGTTCCTCAAGGGACGGCTTTCAATCTGATCGAAGGTAATAAACAAATAAAGGATGTTAATACAAACTAGGAAAGAAAACCTTTCAAATGATGTTTTTCAAGGCAACTTAAAAATGTAGAGAATTTATTTTTTAAATAAAAAAAAACTACCTTTGTAAGGTTGATCTGCCTAAGAGCAAAAACAGCAAGTGCCTTGAAAAGAACACCAGGACCCTCCTCTAGTGAGAAAACTATGCTAGTCTGCAAATTAATTGTATTAACAGAGAACTTCATGAGCAATAACGATTCATAAAGGCAGCACAGCAAAAGAAAAACTATGATCAAGTACTTTGACTGCAAATGGTAATGTTGTTTGGAGGCTAACCTTGAATGGCTTCTCCACACCAGGAATAATGGGATCCCTAGCCAGCATGAGAAATCGAGTAACATTATCACAATCATCCTGTCAAAAAGGGGAGGCATACAAGAAGTTCTGACAAATCCAACACAAAACAACTATGAACAATTATAACCGACATAAACCTGAATGTCTTCGGCAAGAATGTTCAGTCCATATATCTTTGCAGCCTTAGAACTTGCAACAGCTCCCGTATCTTTTAGTTTCTCAAAAGCCACATGCTAAGAATGTAAACAATCATTAAACAAGTCAAAATTAGGAAGTAGTCATCATCTGATAGTGGCAATTCACTCCAAAAGGCAACCATCTAATCCGAATTCCATTCTTTTCTGTTATACCCAGACAAGAAAATAAAATGTATTTGATCAATTTTGGATCACCAAGGAAGCCACCTGAACTGAACCAGATAAAGCATTTCCTGCCTACCTCCTGTATGCTAATATGCTATCTTAGACAGTCAAAGAACTTAATACACTTGACTTAGAACATGCAGCTACAAAGCTTACATAATCTTTTATGTCATGATAATTTCAGTTCTCAAATAAAGACTTACCTTTGCTGCAAGGGCTGTATCATCAACCGCTTCCCTACTCAACCCTATTTTCGTTAACGTGTACTCACACTGAGCTAGAGCCTGGAACATGATCAAGATAAAAACCATTATATTAAAAACAGAGGGAACTTAGTCAACAAGAAGGTTAAATCTTACATCATACCTGAGGATGACTAAGAACCCTTTTCAAGTCCTCAACTCTAACACCATGATTGGCCAGTAAGCAATGACGGACTGCAAGCTTAACTTCCCCAACAATGTGCAAGCTATGGCGAAGCAAGAGGTCATAATTCCGATGAATACTACCACCTAAGGAATTCTCGATCGGTAATACTGCTCTATCCACTAACCACTTTTCAACAGCCTAATTAAAAACAATAATCAAAATCAGTTCCTAATGAAGACTAAGCAAATATGCTTTCAAATTCAAGATGAGCCTCGTTTTCTAACATGAAAAAAAAAGAGAAAAGAAAAAAGAAGAGCTCAAGTAATTACTTCAAAAGCAACATCAAATTGATCACAGGGAACAGGTTCACAATTCGGATAGGCCTTCTCAGCAGCTGCCTCGCTGTAGGCACCGCGAAACTCCTTCGAAATTCATCAAAAGTTCATGCAAACATCAAAATAATTAATAAATATACATTGTCCCGATTAAAAACAAATAATAAAATTGGTCCCGATCTGCAAGTAAAAAAAATAATTATAGATAAATAATTGCCAGAGCTAAGTAAACACCTGATATGCAACGCGAAGACGAGGGCCATCAGAGATTGTATTAGATAATTGGGCTGAAGTAAGAGGTCCTGGAGAAAATAAAGAGAAATGTCAATTTTAATAAAACAAAATACAAAAACTAGAAAGAATAACGAAAAAACGGAGATTTTCATACTGGGATGCGAAGGGGAGTCTTTTGAAACAACGTCGTACGGGGAATCCACGAAAAGCTTCTCCAATCCAACAGCCTTCGCGATCTTATTACTTCCGTCGTTGATGTTGTTGCCGTCGTGGAGGGAGGCGAAAAGAGAGGTGAAACGACGGCGTTTCAAGGAAAACTGGGGAATTTGAAAGGGAGACGAAGTTTTCTGATCGTATACTGTCCCTTTTCCAGAGAGTAGGACCGCCGGGGACCGTATGATTGAAGTGGCCGTAGCCATTAATATGTCAGCTTCGGATCCCGACAACAATGGCGGTGGCTAGATGTTGAAGACTTAAATGTATTGAGCAAAAAGGACGAATATATTTTAGGTTCTATACGTTTGATTGAGAAGAGAAAAAGGGGTAGGAAAAATATGTTAGGGTTTGGACTGTTCACATCTCAATGCGGTTTAGGATTAAATAAATAATATACTCTATAATCTTATCATTAAATTCTATATTCGAACAGTTACATCTGTAACGAGTGTATATGCATAATCAATAGTTTAATTTTTTTTAAATAAATATTATCTTATAATAATCTCACTATTAAAAAATAATCTTAATATTAAATTTTAAATTTATTTTTAAATTTTAAAACGCTTAAATATAAATATTAGATTATTAAATTCAAAGTGTCACAATAACAAGAACAACACTTTTATGTCATTGTACTCATATAAATATCGAAGGGCATAAAAAAATATAGGATATACATAGTCACGCGACTATTATTTTAATATTTGTGGTTATTTAGTAAATAATTTTTAAACATATCTAAAGTTATATTTAGTTTCGTTTTGGTCACTAGTTGTTAAAAAAGATTAACGATGATGCCGTCGTATCACCGTAAGTAAAAATAAATAAATAAAAAATTCACATCAACAATTCTATTTATTTTTTAACAATAAGTAATTAAAACAAACTTAAAATGTAACGTTAAATATAATTTTGAAAGAAATATAGTTTAAATGATCAAAACAAATTAAAATAATAATTGAGTGATTAAACATATAATGTACCAAAAATATAACATCAATGTTGATATAAATATTAAGAAAATATTACTATATCGCCATGGTGCTACCATATCATTTTCTACTAACAACACCACCCTTCTCTTTCTATTTTCTTATTGAATTTTCAACTTAATTTTCCTTTTGAATTCTCTTTTATTTTGATTATTTTTCTTTCTTCGAATTTAATTAATTAATTAATTTTGGTTTGGTGAAGGGTCTTGATTCACATTTTAGTATTTTAGGTTTAATTGGGGATGGGTTGATTTTGAATTAGGTGAAGGTTGAGTGGATAAAATTTCGGACATTGGGTATATTGTGGGGTAGTTGTTGTCGGTTTCAAAATTTTCAGGTGAACTGAAAAATATATTTAAGTTACCCAAAAAAAATCTTATCTTATCTAATTAATTAATAATAATATATATATTAATAATTTTTGTAAATTCCAACCGATCTTTTAACTGAAAAATTCATATGAATCTTGATAATTGATTTTGGAAAATTCTACGACGCTGGAAGAGTACAGATAAGTACCAGTAATGATGAGCACCATTAATTTAATTTATATAAATTTAAAATTCTAAAGGGCACAAGGTATAATTATAAATTAATTGAAAATTTAGAGGTAAATTATTTAAACTAAAAGGTAAATTGTACTAAGGACCAACTAACTATTGTCCTTTTTTATTTGGATCACCATTTTTGAAATTTTTTCAATCATGTCACTCAACTATTTAAATGCATTCAATTAAGCCACTTGACGTTAATATTTAACGGAAAAGTTGATGTGACAGTTAAAATATTTGATATTATTACACATTTGGTCCATGTTACTTATATATTCTATTAATTTGGTTCAATTTTTGAAAAATTAAAAAAAACTTTTTTCAAAATGCATCTATATTAACTAAAATCAAAATTTAAACTCTTAAAAATTAATCCAAACAATTAGATTTTACTTATAATGTGACGAATTAGATAAAAATAAAGTTATAATACTTTGATAGTTGACTAATAAAAAATAAATATTTTTAAAGAAACAGTTCAAAAGTAATTACAAAATAAAATAAAACACAAGTTGTCATGCGTGTATCAATGTAAAATAAATTATTTTAAGCTAAAAAAAGGAAGAATATGGAGAAATGTTGGCACTTCTCAACACAAAACATTGACATATTTATTTTACTTTATTATTAGAAATAATAAAAGAAGATAAAGAGAAAAAAAAATTGTACTTGCCGATATTAAATTGGATTCCTCTCCCATTAACTAATTTGGCATATTTAAGGGCAAAATTTAATTTTGATTTATTAAAACTAGGACCAAACTTATAGAATATATAAATAACAGTGATAAATGTATAATTATACCAAATATTTTAATTGTCACATCATGTAATGCACATAGCTCGTATATATCTCGAAATACGAGCTAAAGATGACACATAAACTAAAAAAACATTTGTTGAACATAAACACTTAATTTTTTTCTTTTTAAACATTTTCTGTTTCAACCTTAAACTTTTACCTTAATCGTATAAAATCATAAAATAACATTTAATCATTGAAAACAAATCTAATTTCAAGGAGCAATTAGTCAATTTAGTGTTGTTCATTAATTATATGAAACTATCTAAACACTGCTTGATTTGAAAATCATTTATAACATAGTATTATATATAAACTATTTAATCATAAATACGAACATAAATAAACTACCAAAAATAAAATGTCCTAGTTTACTAATACATACCTTTTTAAAATAAATTTGATAAAGTAAACCAACTATATAATGTACATGCCATTAATAAGTCAAAGATAAGACATCTTACTGATATTGTCGGTAGGTTTGATTTCCAAAAGATGCACAGAAAGCTCCTCACTTCACGTCCTTTTTTTATTCGAGCTTACGCATGAAAATCATCACACGCTAAGTAAAACTTAGTGAGGCAACAACATAACTAAAGTGATATATAACATAAATTTCGTAAAGCATTATAACATAAAACTAAAATTTTAATAAAAACTTTAAAACTGAGCTATTTAAACTGATTTCATGTCATCTTCTCATGATTTTATTAAAAATCATGTAAATCAATATTAAATATTATAAACAATTCATATTTCTTTCATTCGTACATATTTCAGAACTTTCATTTCATTTAAAAATCATGAAAATCATCATTTCATGATTTTATCAAAAATCATGTAAATCAACATCAAATATCATAAACAATTTATATTTCTTTCATTCGTACATATTTCAAAACTTTCATTTCATTTTCATATTCTTTTCTTTCATATTATTTGTATAGCCCAATGTATATGGAAGAGAATATAAGGTACGTGAGTAGAACATAAGGTGCACACTGGACGCATCACGGTACTAATCATAACTGAAACATATAATGCACTCCAAGTTCAATCATAACATAAGCACCAACGATGCAGATAATTGAAAACTGATAACAGATAAATGGAAAGTACTCAACTTAATGACATGCCAAGTGTACATACGACTCTCAATGCAACATACAATAGGCTTATATTTCATAATATAATAATTTAATAGTCAACGTCTGAAAATCATAAATATTTAGAATTCTTTCTCATAAAATCCGTACTTGGGCAATTTATACCCTAAATCATCCATAAAACATTTATACAAACATTATATAAATAATTCATATTTAAAATATAAAACATACTTTAAAATAATATGAGGTTAACTTATAACAAGTCGTTTTCAATCAAATTAATTAAATAAACTAATTGTACCCATTTTAACACTTTAATTATAAATCAAAATATAAGCCTATCTAAGTTTTAGATTTAATCCTTTGCTTTCAAATGCTTCAACTACGTATTTTATCAATATTTCATTTTCTAGCAGTTTGCACTACCTTCAAAGAAATATTATTATATATTAATATACATACTTAAAAACTATTCCGTTAATACTAATGAAAACCAGGCTCGAATACAAATATAACCATATAAGACACTTCTTCTAGTTTTACTTGTACGATTAATAGCGAATTTTCAAAGTTGACTGACAAAAGTTGTCTTGAGCAAAATATGTTGCCCTATTTTCTGGCCTATCCTCAATTAAAAATTCACATCTTTTCGTATACACCTCAAAATCAGTATTCGTTTGTTCTAGACAAAAATAGACCGATATACAAATCCAATGGTATCAAAATTCATCCTCTAATCGTTTTTGTATAATTTATGGTAAATTTCTAAACTTACTATTTGAATCATAATTTCTAGACAACTTTACCTAATTAGCATCCTTAAATCAATTCCATTATTCTATAAGCTTAATAAATGAACATATAGGCTAGAATCACATTTCACATAACATTATGAGTCACTTCTTACCGTAGTAACTTCGTCACTTCTTACCGTAGTAACTTCGTCACTGGTTCATCGCTAGCCAATGTTGTGTGATGACATAAATATAAATTAAATGCACTCACTTTTGCCTCCCTATCGAACATTCTCCTCGATAATCTTCTCAATTCCTCACTTTTTCCTTCTTTTCGAGTTACTTGGATTACTATATTTATCTTGGTCTAACAACATCATATAATACATAAATTATTTAAACTATATGTTAGTGTAGAACTAACATAGTCTAAGCTTAAATATAAAGTTCGATAGAAATAAAATTGATACTTAAATCGGTATAAAACTAAATCGCACTTCCATCGTAATTTCAAACTTCTCAAAATATTCCTTAAATTCCATAAATACTTATTTCATCATCAACCCTTCAACTTTTGCTAAATAAATAATTAAACCACTAATTTTGAATTATTTCTAGAATTCACCTTAACTTTTCCATTAACTTCATAATAGCCCTTCACTATCATGATCATGTCACATTAATCACATAAAATTTCCAGCACCTTAATAAAATATTCAAATCAACACTTAAACATTTAAAAACTTACAATTTCATCCTAAACTTTCTTAGACTTTTCAATTTCAACCTTTCACCTTACCAAACTTGCAAATCAATCCTCAAATTAATATTTAATTAAAAATCAACATACTAATAAAATTTCCAGTATTTAATCATTATAATTCAACATTTAGTACCTCAAATTTTAGATTTATACATAAATGTCCCAATATTCTCAAAACTAGTAAATTAGCCCTTTTTCTAATTTAAGCTTCCAAATTGATCCGAATTAATCTCCAATTCACATAGAACACTTCTAATATCAATTCTAAACCATAGGAAATTTTTCAATACCCCCAAATTTTCCCCATGGACAAATACTATAAGGTAGTGATTCCATGATTTCCTACTTGATTTCAACCTCTAAACAACATTACTAAACTTCTAAAATCAAACCCCTAACATAATTAATCCAAATCAAAATTTCTTCAAAACCCTAGGTCATGGCCGGATAGTCTTATACCCAATTTCAAGTGGTTTTAATCATCACACATGCCTTAGAATTAATCTCCAACATCAAGAAAATAATAATATTTCAAAATCCCTAAACCCTACATAAACCCTAATTTCCAATTTCATGAAATAAGCATGTTTATCATGTAATTTTTATACCAAATGATAAATAATTTCATGTAAATGAATTCTTTATTTCATAACTTAGTCCAAAAATCAATCATGTGAGCTTAGAAATCTAAACATAAATTCTTACCTTGTAGATATGAAACCCATGGCCAAGAGAGCTTGAAGATGAGAAATTCTTGATTTTTCTACATTTAATTATCATAATACACATGACTTAATAATATAAATGAAATTACAATTTTGTCATTAATGAATTATGATAATTACTAAATGACATTGCATTATCTTCCATTAAAATATTCCTTAGCCAATGATGAACCAATTTGATTTTGACTTTCTACTTTGGCTATGCAATTTTTGAAAATTACATTTTAGTCACTAAATTTTCCACTGTTCGGTCAAATCTGAAAAATTACACTAATCTATGCTAAATTTCTATAATCTAAAATATGGAAAATAATATTTCCAACAATTATCTAGCATCCTTCAAATTTTCGTAAAATTCTGGTTCGATCCGATTATTCGATTTCGAAATCAAATTTTATCGCTTTATAGCTTTTAACACATATATCGTATCTGATTATCACAAAAATCCTTGTTTTAGGTCAAACTGTTTATTTACATACTAAAACATATAACTTTTCTAAAATTACATTTTGGTCCCTAAACTTTTATAAAGTTTATATTTTAGCTATCAATTTTTCAAAACTTATATTTTAGTCACTAACCAAAATTTGGGGTATTACACATCATCTTTTCCGTTAAATATTAACGGCAATTGTTTTTATTGAATGCATTTAAATAGTACTTGAGTAACATGATTGACAAAAATTCAAAATGATGGTCAAAATAAAAAGTGACAATAGTTAAGTGATCACTAGTATAGTTTACCTTTTATTTTAAATAATTTACCTTTAAACTATTAACTAATTTATAGTTATACGTTGAGTCCTTAGAATTTTAACGTTTTATAAATTAATTTATCGGTGTTCATCATTAGTGTTATCCATCGCTTTCGTCGAACGTGAGAATCATCCATTGATTTTAGAGTAAACTATATAAATAATCCTCAAACTTTTAAAATTTATAATATAATTACTATACTTTTGGAAACTTATATTATAATTACTCTAGTCCGTTGTCGTTAGGGGTGCACAAAAAATTCGAATATCCGATTTTGCGAAAAAAAATATCCGAAACCGGAATTGGGAAAAACCGGTTTTTTTAACCGGATCGGATTTTTTTAAACCGGTTATTTTAACCGGTTTGGAGAAAAAAACCTAGACCGGTTTTTTTACCGGATAAAAAACCGGTTTTTATCCGGAAAAAAAATTGGTTTGGGTTTAAAAAACTAGACGTTAATATAGCCGTTGGGGGGGGGGGTTTGTGACCGTTTTTTACCCTTTTTTCTTTAAAAAATTACCATTTTACCACCCTAAACATGTATAAATAGGTTGGGGATGTATTTGGTTGATTACAACTTTCTCAAATCTTATTACACAACACCAAAACATCTCTCAAATCTTATTTTTGTAATTTTTTGTTCATCATGAGTAACACGGCTGAATCTTCCGTCGGGGGAAACCTTGAAGTCGTGAGAGTGATCGAACACACTCGAAACAAAGATATTTGGGATCACTACGATTTATGTGAGATGTCAAATGGCTCGAGGAGGGCGCGTTGTAAACTTTGTCTAAAGTTTCTTGCATCGGAAGGAAACACAACGTTGAAGAACCATTTGACAAAATCATGCAAGGCACTTCGCTCAAGATCGGATCCTAGTCAATCGAATCTTACACCGCAAGGTGGTGTTTTTGTTTACGACAACGAAAAATTACGAGAAGCGTTTACAAAGTTCGTGATTACAAAAGCATTGCCGTTCGACCACTTTGATGATGAAGATTTCACGACAACAATTCAACAACTAATGCAACCACGTTATACTCAAGTAAGTCGTACTACCCTTAGAAGAGATGCTATAAAAATGTGGCGTACGGCGAGGGAAAAAATGATTTTAGGATTCCAAGAACACCGTTATGGTGTGTCGCTTACATGTGAAGTTTGGAGTTCCCCTCATAATACCGAAAATTCTTTTTTAGCCGTTACGTCACATTGGTTAGATCAAGATAATTGGCAAATGATGAAAAGAACAATCGCGTTTGAATTATTCGGTGAGCCGCATACCGGTGCTAATTTATTTACACTTTTAAAAAGGGTAATTTGTCTTTATAAATTAGAAAATAAAGTTTTTTCTATATCCTTTGATAATGCATCGAATAATACAAACGCGGTTCCAAGATTGAAAATATTACTTTCACCGATTTTAGACGGTGCGTTTTTTCATACCCGTTGCGTTGCACACATAATTAATTTATCCGTGCAAGCCGGTTTGGAGGTTATTGAGCCGATTAGATTAGAATTTAAAACAATGATAAAATCGGTTCTTTGTAACAACAACAAAAGACTAAATGATAATAAACAATTTTGTAAGTCTGTTAATAAAAAAGCTTTGGGTCCTAATTTGGATTGTCCAACTCGTTGGAACTCAACTTGGATGATGATGCATACTGCCTTAAGGCAAAGGGAAACATTTCAAACATTTCACGATCGGCTTTTCGAGAGGGGTCATGTCCCAAACATTTATCCGGATTCGAGTTGGGAAACTATAGCCAAAATAACCGATTTGTTTGGGGTTTTTAAAAATGCAACAACTTTTTATCCGGTGTTTATTACCCTACTAGCCCGTTGGTTCTTAATCAAATATTTTTGTTGGCTACCCGACTAAATGACTTTGAATTTGAAACCGAAGTTTTTTAAGAAATTGGCTTTGCAATGAAGGAAAAACTTTTAAAATATTTTAAGGAGATTCTCCCCATTTTTACTTGTGCCGCTGCTTTAAACCCAACGTTAAATGTTGGCGGGGTTGAAACACTAATTAAACAAATTGCGTTTGCTTTTAATCTAACCAATGATGAACCCAACTTTGTCCAAAACCAAATAAATTATTTTAACAAATGTTTTCGAGACATGTTTGCAATTTATTTAACTAAATACGGATCAAGTAGTGTAATACACGATCAAATGAGAATGAATACAGAATCATCTAGTAGACGTCCAAGTAACATAAATTTGAATCTTTTTAACACTCTTGTAAATTCCCAATCCAAACGATCACGTACTACCACCCCAAGTAGCGAGTTAGGAAATTACATGTCATGCGATTTTCTATCAAAAATGACATTTGAAGAGTTTGAAAGTTTGGATATTTTGGGTTGGTAGAAAGAAAAGGAAGCACAATTTCCGATTCTAGCCGCCATGGCCCGTGATTTACTAACCGTCCAAGCTTCTACGGTAGCTTCGGAATCCGCTTTTTCTGTTAGTGGCAGGGTTATATCACAACGGAGATCAAGACTAAGTCCCGAGTCGGTGGAAGTATGCATTTGTTTAAAGGATTATTTGGATGGAGCGGCTCGTAAGCAACATATCACCACCCTAGAAGATGCAATTGATGCTGATTTGGAAGCAAACTTACACATTGAAGAAGTCGAACTTGGAATATCCCTTCCAAACGAAGAAGGCGAAGATGATGAAGAAGAGATGGCAATGTAGTTTATTTTTAAACTTTATTTCAATTATCGTAAACTTTGTTTCAATTATCGAACTTGAAGTTTTTAAGTATTTGAATTTATCGAACTTGAAAGTTTTTAAGTATTTGAATTTATCAAACTTGGAAGTATTTAAGTATTTCAATTATGTTGAGTTAATCGATCGATGGAATCGGCCAAGAGGGGGGTGAATTGACAATTAAAATTTCGGTGGAAGCTTTTGCAGAAAATTGAAAAGATTTGCACAGCGATTTAGAGTGGTTCGACTTTCTCAATCAAGTCTACGTCCACTACCTTAGCTATCTACACTAAGGATTTTTCACAAATTCACTAATTTGTCTTTCTTTTGAGGACAAAGAGTAACCTTACAAACCCTCAAGAATTATACCCCAAATTCTTGAGAAAACTCTCTCCCAAAGAGAACAATACAAATTTGCAAACTTACAAGGAAATCCTCACAAGGTAGATTGTTTGCACAATTATAGAACAAAGAAAAGAACACTCAAAGATGAATACAATTGAGCACAATATGTGTTCTTGAAAGCAAAATGAATATTGAATGAAAATAGGCTTGAAATGCTCAAACTTGAGGTTTGATGCTTACTCTTTGATTCTCTCTTGATTCTAGTTGCTTGATGTTTCTTGTCTTTGATCAATAGCTTCTAAGCTTGCTTAAATACACCTTGAATCACTTCTGAACGTTAGGGATAATTAATGAAGATAATATAGCCGTTTAAGTGTGAAAACATTTAATAAAAATGCTTGGAGCGTGGGGGGAATCGGTATCCTCTCATAGGGAATCGGTTCCCTAAGTGTAAAATTCAAATATTTCGACCGTTGAATAGGGGGGAATCGGTACCCCCTATGGGGGAATCGGTTCCCTCCGAGCATTCTGGAAATCTCGGAGCCAAACCATTCAGGGGGGAATCGGTACCCCTTGGGGGGGAATCGGTTCCTCTGAGCAATCTGGAATTTTTGGCTTTGAAATGGTTCGAAATACTTTGAAAGATTATTTTGAAATTGTTTTAAGATTAAAACTTAATTTTACACTTAAGTAAGGATTAAAAATGATTTTTGAAATATTTGGAGTAATATTTTGATATTCGAATAATTATATCGAATATACTTAGAAAATCATTTGGAAAATCTTAAAATTCATTTAACTTAATTTGTTATATCGAAATATCAAAATGTTTTCAACAAATTATCGTAAATTTTATTGCAATTGATGACGATATAATTTTAATAATATTAAAATTGATTTTTTTATAACCGATTTTTTTAAAAAACCAATTTTTTTAAAATCGAAACCAGTTACACCGGTTAGGATATCCGGCCCTCCAAACCGATTAGAAACCGAACCGGTTATTTTATAAACCGGTTTTTTTTTCTATGAAAAAAAAACCAGATCAGATAAAAACTGATCCGGATCGAATTGAAATCCGACTTCTGTGCAACCTAGTTGTCGTTATCAAATGCTAACGTGAATTGTTAAAGTCTATTTCTTTTCTTTATTTGATTTTCTCATAAAAAAGAAAGTAGGAAACAAAAACCTAAGACTAATATGGATTAGGAGTGTGTAAAAAAAATTCGATATAAGCGATTCAACCTGTTGATTTATTTTAAAATTTTAAATATTTGATTTGTTTTTTGAAATTTTGATAATTTAGATTGGATATCTGGAAAAAATAAAAAAATCAAATCGAATATAGATTACCTAAATTCTACTTTTGTATTATTAAAAAAATACAATTAAAATTGACCCTTTTGAATTTAGATGTCCTCTAGCACAATAAAATCCTACTAATGCACTAACCCAATTAAGAGTTACAATGTTTAATTGTTTATTATGTATGACTAATTGTGTATATATATATATACCCGTTTTTGACCGGCTTAAAAATATTATTATTATTATTATATATATGTTTGCAGGCCCAATTTACAAGACCCATTTACAGCCCAATACAATCCAACAATCTCACCCAAGACCCAAATGGAGTCAACCCAACAACCTAGGAGAATATCCAATACAGCAAATCGGGTCCATACCACCACCCGACCCGAAACCATTTGATGTTGCATAGTGCTCTACCCCACTGCCACTAGTCCCTGTTTCCTGCCACTCACGAGCCTCTCACAAGGAATAAATCAAGAGATATTATATTCAAACATCACCACACAACAAGTGTTTAATATTTTATGCTAGATATGTAAAAACAATGGCTATAAAAAGCCGAATCAAATGTAAGAAGTGGGGGATTGCACTCGATTTTTTCCCAATAAAAATACAACAGTTGAAACATATTTTCAGCAAGTGCAAAAAAAAAAAAAAAATCCAAGGTATTCTAGTAGGTTTTACGTTTTGTTTATGTGCTAACATTTTAAATTATAATTTCGTTCTTGGTGTTCATACATATCTTACGATTGCTTAAAGAAAATAAATAGAAAGGGGTTCGAAAATTACCTTGCTGCCGGAGTAATCGTCGGGGTAACAGTGTCGTTGGTGTGAAGTTGAGGTCGAGGGACCACCGCACATGGTGGTCCAGTGCTGGATTCTCGCTGGAGGAGGGAAACATCGTAGGGAATGATGTTTGCGTTTCGTGGTGTTTCCGACACCGTTTAGCTCGGACGAGAGGAGAGTGACCATCCATTTTTGGTGACCATACGCGGCGGACCATGGTTCGTCGGAGAGCTGCTGTGATGGTGGTGAGCGAAATGAAGAAAATGTTAGGGATTAGGGGGAGTATCGTGCAGAATGAAGAGAAAAAGGGAAAGGGAATTGCTTTTATTTTAATTTTGGGAAAATCATACGTTAACTCCTCCTTATTTTATAGCCTTTTGCGTTCTAGTCACTAATTTTAGTTTAATTCTATTTAGATCCCTTTCTTTCCTATGTATTACATTTAAGTCATTAGATTTAGGGTCAAATCACCTCTAAGTCCCCCTAATCTAGCCATGTTTTAATATTATGATAATTATGTGTATTTGTTTTTATTGTGAACTCTATATTTTATTTAGTTTTAATTTAGTCATTAAACTGCTATGTTTTTATTTTAATTTAGTTATTGTCCTTCTAGTTTATGTTAATACTATTTTTATCCTTTAAATTTATGTTTGTAATATTTTGGTACTTTAAATTTCTGTTTTTTTATTTAATCCCTTAAATTTATGTTTTTCTCTTGCAGCTCATTTATAGAATTCAAAGAATTTTAATCATTTCCATTTTTTTTTAATTCGAATTTTCTTTCATTCCTTTTATTTACTCTTTTTTATTTCGATTTTAATACTAACTCTTTGTTTTTGTTTGTTTTATTTTTTAACTTTATTTATGATCTTTTTTTAGAATAATTTTAACCAATCAAAGGTAAGTACTTTGAATTGAATATCTAAATTGAAATTTAAATTACAATTTTCGCAATTAAGACAATCGACAAATTAAATGGTACCGAATGGGTAGTTCAATGGTGCTAATTCTTCATTGATTGTAACTGACTCCCGAATCCGACATATTTCTGGTAAAAAACAGATCAGGTAAGATGATATCCAATCAACCTAAATTTTTTACGAAAAATAAATGATCGGTGGCGACTCTAATATTTTATTCAAGTCGAAGCCAAATTCTGGGCCCACCCAAAAGACAGTTCCGACAGCTTGGCGACTCTGCTGGGGACAGGTAAGTGAGTCAGGCCAGAATTAATTTTCGGTCGTCTTTTTAAGAGAAAATAGTAAATTTTAATTTTAATTTATTTATTTGATTCCAATTATTTATCTTTGATTGTTTTTTCAAATAAATAGTTGTACTGACGTTTTTTCAATGATTTCAGATCTTTAACTTTTTCCATCTAAGACCCTATACCCGAGCTTCGAACCCTTTTAAGTGGGGGTGAAAGCGACGCCTTCGTGAGAAATTATTCTCCGCATAGGCCTAGCAAGTAACCTTCGGGATTCATATATCTTATGTCTTCGTGTGAATTTATTCACCGCACAGACATAAGGGAATGTGTCTTCTCGAGTTTAACTTAGTCCACACAAGCTTGTAATGGGCTTAGGACTAAGGGTCTGGCAGCCCAATGGGGCACCAGCAAGAAGAACTCGGGTACCTTCTTTAGAACCTAAACAGGGAAACGACGGGGAATTAGAGTCTACCCCAAAACCTCATTTCAAACCCTAGGCTACTTTGATATTATTTCCTACTTTATTTCCCGTTCAAAGCATGTGAACTAGAAATTTATGCGGTTAGGACTGGTTTAAAATTAGCATGTGGGATAGAGATCATGTCCGGGTAGGAATAATAAGTGTAACATCCCAAACTATGGATTAGTGACTAAATCGTAAAGGTTTAGAATTTGGTGACTAAAATAGAAGAATGGAATAGTTCAATGATTTATTTAGAAATATTACTTGAAAGATGTTAGTAATTATTAGATGAATTGAAAGACAAAAGGGTCATTTGCAAGGAAAATAATTAAAGATGGTTATATATTAAACACGTGGAAGGGAAGAGGAAACAAAGTGGTTTCTAGAGTTCTCTTCATCTTTCTTCTTCCTTCACGCGTAAAAACCAAGAGCTAAAGGTGAGTTTTTTGATTATTGAGTTTCTGGTTAAATTTAAGCTTGGTTTTTTATTATTAGATGATAATTAAGCTTAAGGAAAGTTTAAGTTATCTTAAAAATCAAAGTATGATGGAGTTAGAAGGGATTAAAGATTAGAGGTTCTTGAATGAAATCCTGGAATAGAGTTCATAACTAGAATTGAAAGTTAAATTTGACTTGTCATCAATCTAATTAAGAGATATGAAGTAATAGATTTTGATTTGGAACATGTTAGAAATTGAGTATGATTCTTGAATTTCATAAGGAGGATAGGATTTGGAGGTTTAATATGCAATAAATGAGTATAAAGTGGTCTAAGTATGTATACTGGAGTTAAGTATATAAAAGAGGATGAATCATGAAGTTTTGAAGCTGAAAGAGTGAATTAT